TTCCTTTTTTATTTTAAATTTTCGAAATGAAATAATATTTTTTATCGAAAGTATTTAATATTTCTGTTCTCAATTCGGATTTCGTTAATTATAGAAATATAAAAATAATTGAAAATCTCAGGGATAATAGAATAGAATAAAAGAGAAACCGGATTTAATCAAATAGAATTGAATAGAATCAAAAAAAATTGAATTGAATAAAAAAATCAAATTTAATCGAACAGAGTTAAATAGAATCGAATAGAATTCTAATAGAACTGAATAGAATCGACTACAACCGAATAGAATCGAAAAAACAAATAAAATGGAAAAAACCGTATAGAATCGAAAAAAACCGAATTAAATCGAATAAAATTGAAAAGAATCGAAAAAAATCGAAATAACCGCAAAAACTAAATTAAATCGAATAAAATCGAAAAAAAATCCGAATAGAATAAAAAAAAATCAAATAGAATTGAATAAAATCGAATAAACCGAATAGAATTAAAAAAAAACTAAATAGAATAAAAAAAAACCGAATAGAATAAAAAAAACCGAATAGAATTAAAAAAAACCGAATTGAATCGAAGAAAATCGAATAAAACCGTATAGAATAAAAAAAAAACCGAATTGAATCGAATAGAATTGAATAGAATCGAATAAACCGAATAGAATTAAAAAAAATACCAAATAGAATAAAAAAAACCGAATAGAATAAAAAAAAATCTAATAGAACTGAATAGAATCGAATAAAATCGAATAAAACCGTATAGAATAGAAAAAGACCGAAATGAATCGAATAGAATTGAATAGAATCGAATAAACCGAATAGAATTAAAAAAAACCAAATAGAATAAAAAAAATCGAATAGAACTGAATAGAATCGAAGAAAATCGAAAAAAAACCGTATAGAATAGAAAAAAACCGAATTGAATCGAATTGAATAGAATCGAATAAACCGAATGGCATTTAAAAAAACCAAATAGAATAAAAAAACCGAATAGAATAAAAAAAAACCGAATAGAACTGAATAGAATCGAATAAAATTGAATAGAATTGTATGTAATCGAATAAAACTAAATAAAATTGAAGAAAGGAAATAAATCTAAAATAAATCGAAAAGAATTGATAACAACTGAATTGAATAGAATAAAACCGAATTAAAACAAATTGAATCGAAAAATAAATCAAATTGTAAAAAAAAATAAAACAAACGGAATTGAATAGATTTGAAAAAAAGAGTAATTGAATTTAATTGAACAGAGTTGTAACAAAAACCCAATTAAATAGAATAAATCCAAACAAAATCCAACGGAATTAGATATAAAAATTCGAATATTATTCAAATAAAAGTCAAATCAGATTTTTACGTATTTTTTTAAAAATATGTGCAAAAGAAAAAATTAATATTTTTTGTTTTTACAATGATTATTCTTTATTTTTGTGATAAAAGTTTTACATTGTAGAATTTCGTTGATTGTTGTCAAATCATTTGAAAAATTCGATCTGAAAAAAAAAATTTATTTTTTAAATTAATTTTAATAGAAAATATAAATTAAAAAAATTTTTTGCAAAAAGTAGTATTTTTGGCTAAATAATTATTTTTTGGTTCAATAAAACTACTTTTTGGTTAAATAATTATTTTTTGAATAAAAAATACGACATTTTGTGTAAAAAAATATTATTATTTGGCTAAGGAATTATTTTTCGGCAACGAAAGTTGGCTTAATAATTATTCTTCAGCTTAATATTACGATTTTTTGGTTAAATAATTATTCTTGGGATAAAAAATTGTAAATTTTGTGCTAAGAAATTATTTCGTTAAATAATATTACTGTTTGGCTGAATAATTACTTTACTGCTTAATAATTCTAATTTTTGGCTAAGTAATTATTATTTGGATTAAAAATACTACATTTTAGCTAAACTATAGTTGTTTTTTTGATTAAATAATTATTTTTTGGATAAAAAATACTAAATTTTGGCTGTGAAATTATTGTTTAAATTATTATTAATATTATTAATAATACTACTCTTTGCCCTAATAACTACTTTTCGGCTTAACAATACTTTTTTTTGGCTAAATAATTATTATTCGGCTCAATAATAGTATTTTTGCCGAAATAATTATTAATTTGATGAAAAATACAACATTTTAACTGAGGAATTATTGTTTGACTCGAAAGTTGGCTTAATAACTATTTTTCAGCTCAATAATACGATTTTTTTGTTAAATAATTATTCTTTGGATAAAAAATTCTTTATTTTGGCTAAAAAATTATTGTTTATTTAAATAAGACTACTTTTTGGATAAATAATTTTTTTTTTCTCAATAGTTATTATTTTTGGCTAAATAATTATTATTCGGCTCAATAATACTATTTTTGCCTCAATAATTATTATTTGGATCAAAAATATTTCATTTTAACTAAGAAATATTATTGTTTGGCTAAGGAATGTTCAGGAATTGTTCAGCTCGAAAGTTGGCTTAATAATTATTTTTCTGCTCAATAATTATCATTTTTGGTTAAATAATTTTTCTTTGGATAAAAATTTTTAAATTTTTGTTAAGAAATCATTGTTCAGCTAAATAATACTACTCTTTGGCTTAATAACTATCTTTTGTCTCAATATATACTACTTTTTGGCTAAATAATTGTTTTTTGGCTCAATAATACTAATTTTTGGCTAAATAACTATTTGTTTAGATTAAAAATACTGCATTTTGGCTGAATAATTATTTTTCATCTGAAAAATACTTATTTTTACCTGAATAATTATTTTTTGGTTCAATAATTCTACTTTTTGGCTAAATAACTATTCTTTGTATAAAAAATACTAAATTTCGGCTAAGAAATTATTTTTTGGCTCGAAAGTACTACTTTTTGGCTAAATAATTAATTTTTGGCTTAATAATACTAATTTTTGGCTAAATAACAATTTTTTTTAGTTAAAAAATACTGTATTTTGACTAAATAATTATTTTTCTGTTCAATAATCCTACTTTTTGGCTAAATAACTATTTTTTGGATAAAAAATACTGCAATTTGACTAAAAAATTATTTTTTGACTCGAAAGTACTACTTTTTGGCTTAATAATTACTTTTCGGCTCAATAATTCTACTTTTGGCAAAATAATTATTTTTTGGCTTAATAATACTAATTTTTGGCTTAATAACAATTTTTTTTAGTTAAAAAATACTGTATTTTGACTAAATAATTACTTTTTGGCTAAATAATTAATTTTTGGCTTAATAATATTAATTTTTGGCTAAATAACAATTTTTTTTAGTTAAAAAATACTGTATTTTGACTAAATAATTACTTTGTGGCTAAATAATTAATTTTTGGCTTAATAATATTAATTTTTGGCTAAATAACAATTTTTTTTATTAAAAAAATACTGTATTTTGACTAAATAATTATTTTTCTGTTCAATAATCCTACTTTTTCCTAAATAATTATTTTTTATCAAAATAATACTACTTTTTGGCATAATAACTATTTTTTGGATAAAAATACTGCAATTTGCATAAAAAATTATTTTTTGACTCGAAAGTACTACTTTTTGGCTTAATAATTACTTTTCGGCTCAATACTACTATAATTTGACTAAAAAATTATTTTTTGACTCGAAAGTACTACTTTTTGGCTTAATAATTATTTTTTGGCAAAATAATTATTTTTTGGCTTAATAATACTAATTTTTGGCTAAATATCAATTTTTTTTAGTTAAAAAATACTGTATTTTGTCTAAATAATTATTTTTCTGTTCAATAATCCTACTTTTACCTAAATAATTATTTTTTAGCAAAATAATACTACTTTTTGGCTAAATAACTATTTTTTGGATCAAAAATACTGCAATTTGACTAAAAAATTATTTTTTGACCCGAAAGTACTACTTTTGGCTTAATAATTACTTTTCGGCTCAATAATTCTACTTTTTGACTAAATAATTATTTTTCTGTTCAATAATCCTACTTTTTGGCTAAATAAATATTCCTTGGATCAAAAATACTGCATTTTTAATTAAAAAATAATTTTTTGCCCCGAAATTACTATTTTTCGGCTTAATAAATACTTTTCAGCTGAATATTTATTTTTTTTGGCTAAATAATCATTATTTTGAATAAAAAAATACTACAAATTGACCAAAAAAATAAAATTTGTTGTCTAACTAAAGTCGAGAAACTCACCAGCCCTTAATTTTCTCCCAACATGTTTTTTGTGTTGATCCAAAGTACTTCTTGCAACCGCCACTGCAACATTCACTGTCCTGACTGCATTTTTCGTCAACTTTCTTGCAGGCAAATGTCGTGCCAAACATGGCAATCAAACAAACCAAAAGAATCAACAGGCTTTTTGTGAAATACATTTTTTTCCCTTTCTATTAAATTCCCTCGATATAAAATTTTCTCTAACTTTTTAAGTTTAAACTACTTGCAGTAAATAATTATTTATTTCTTATTCTCGAAGAGATGATATTCTAATAAGAAATGCATATAGCGGAAAAAGAACTCAACTATATATACAAGTTCAGTTTCTGCTGACAATATCAAATAATTTATCAATTTTACAAAAAAAACGCCAATTTTTTCCTCATTCGGTTTTAGAATTGATAAGAAAATGGTTTTTTAACAGAAAACTATTAGTTTGATAAGAAAAATTCTCTGAATAATTTAATGAAAATTAACATTGTAATGAGTGTATAGGTGATATTTTTTGTGTTTTGAGAAAATTATTATTTGTTTTTTTTCCTATTCTTGAAAAACACCTTTAGTGAGGTAAATACCGTGAAATTATAAACAGAATAGGAAAAATTTTTTTTCTGAAAAAGTAATTTTTATATTTTTTTTTTTTTTACTTTTTTATTGAAATTACATATAAATTTTAATAAATTTTATACATTCAATACATTTTTATACATTTAACAAATTTTATACATTTTATACATTTAATAAATTTAGAAGATATTTTTGACCAAAAATATAAAAAAAAAAATAAGAATAAAAAAAATATAAATCCAAAAACTTATTCTTTTATTAATTTAATAAATTTTATACATTTTATAAATTTGAATAAAATTTACAGAAATTTGTTGAAAGACTTCATGTGATGGTAAAAAAAATTCCAGTAACTGTTAGGAAATCTGAAAAGAAAATATTAATTAAAAGAAAATAAATAAAAGATACAAATGTTGATTTATTTGTTTTTCAATTTTTTTAATTCCGTCGATATTTTCATTAAATATTAAATAATTTCGCTTTAGTCAAAACAAGACATTTTTTTTTAATTTTTGAAAAATTTTGTTATAAAATAAAAAAATAAATAAAAAAAGAATAAAATAATAAAAGTAATTTATTATAATTATGTAATTTTATTTTCGAACCGTTTTTTAATAATATTGATGATAGCAATCTATACAAAAAAAAAGTTCATTAAAACAAAGAATTTTATTAAAAATTCAACTTTTAAATTCCAAATTCCAAATTAAAATATTGAAAATAATAAAAATCGAAATTCAAAATTCAAAATTTAAATTCAAATTGAAATTTGAAATTTCATTTAAAATTCAACTTCAAATTAAAAATTGAAATTTCATTAAAAATTCAGCTTCAAATTTAAAATGGAAATTTCATTAAAAATTCAATTTAAAATTGAAAATTCAAACAGAAATTGAAATCGAACACATTGAAAATTGAAATTGAAAATTGAAAATTGAAATTTTATTAAAAATTCAAAATTAAAATTGAAAATTTAAATAGAAATTGAAATTAAAAACAATGAACATTTAAATTGTAAATTTAAATTTCATAAAAAATTCAACTTCAAATTTAATATTGAAATTGAAAATTTAAATTGAAAAGTAAATTTCAAAATTTTATTAAAAATTGAAATTAAAATTGAAATTTGATATTTCATGAAATTTAAATTTAAAATTTAACTACAATTTGAAAATTCAAATAGAAATTAAAATTAAAAACAATGAAATTTAAAAATTAAAATTGAAATTTCATTAGAAATTAAAATTAAAATTAAAAATTTAAATCGAAAATTGAAATTTCATTAAAAATTCAACTTTAAATTTAATATTGAAATTGAAATTGAAAATTGAAAACAATGAAAATTGAATTTGAAAATTAAAATTGAAATTGAAAATTTAACTTTAATTTGAAAATTAAAATTGAAATTGAAAATTTAACTTTAATTTGAAAATTAAAATTGAAATTTAATTCATTTAAACGAATATTTAGGTTCTTAATAAAAATAAATTTAAAAATAAAATCTAAAAACGAAATAAAAATATGAAAATGAAATAAAAATGAAAAAGCAAAATGAAAAAAATTGAAATACAAAATATAGAATAAAATATTAAAACAATAAAATTTAAATATACTTTGTGTAAAAAAAGATATGAATGAACTAAAAAAATTGAATTCCCTCTCACCATCCAAAGATTTTTTCCCAACATGTTTTTTTCCACTGTCCAAAGTATGCCTTGCAACCACCACTGCAGCAGTCACTGTTAGAGTTGCAAGTTTGCCCCACACCTTTGCAGGCAAATGTCGTGCAAAACATGGCAATTAAACAAACGAGAAGAAGTAAAATAGCTTTCGTAGAATACATTTTCAATTTTTCTTTTGTTTCCTTTTTTGTTGGGAAAAAGTGGAAAGTATTTTCTTTACTTTATTATTACACCTGAAGACAAAAAGTAGTGCGCGCCCCTTTATATATGCAATTATTCTATATACACAATGCTTTGTGCATTGATAAGAATATTTCTAAGAAATCAAGTAGTTAACAATAAATCATTCACATCACACTTGATGTGATATCAAATTTTTTATTTCCTGCGGGGAATTTTACAGGTGATTAAAAATTCAAAATCTCATAATGATTTTATTCTTAATCAAATATTTTTTATTGTTTTTCCTAATTTTTTCCGCAATTGTTTATTATATGTGCATTCTTCTCGTATATTATATTTTGACTTTTTCTACTTTTTTCGAGAAATTTTCAAAAAATTCCGACTTTTTCTGATAATTCTTCCAAATATTACAACAAAATAATATTTTCAAACGATTCAATTATTTCTTTAAAAAATTCAATTATTTTCACAAATAATAAAATTTTTGAAAATTTCATTAAAAATGCAAATACATTTTGAAAATTGAAATTGAACATTCAAAATTCAAAATTCAATATCAAATTTAAAATTGAAATTTTTGTAAAAATTGAAATTCAAATTGAAAATTCCAATTAACATTTTAGTATGAATTGAAATCGATATTGAAAATTCAAATCAAAATTGAAATTTCAATATTCAATGAGAATTGAAATTCAAATTGAAAATTCAAATTAAAACTCTAGTAAGAATTGAAATTAAAATTAAAATTAAAATTTCTGTAAGAATTGAAAGTCAAAATGAAAATTAAAATTAAAATTGAAATTTCAGTGAGAATTGAAATTAAAATTTCAGTGAGAATTGAAATTCAAATTAAAAATAGAAAATGAAAATTGAAATTTCATTAAAAATTTAACTTCAAATTGAATAGTAAAATTGAAATTTCAGTAAAAAGTGAAATTCATATTGAAAATTCAAATCAAAATTGAAATTTCAGTGAGAATTGAAATTCATATTGAAAATTCCAATTAAAATTCCAGAAAGAATTAAAATTCAAATTCAAATTAAAATTTATGTAAGAATTCAAAATGAAAATGGAAAATGAAAATGAAAATGAAAATGAAAATGAAAATGAAAATGAAACATGAAAATGAAAATGAAAATGAAAATGAAAATGGATAAATGAAACTGAAAATGAAAATGAAATGAAAATGAAAATGCAAATGAAAATGAAAATGAAAATGAAAATGAAAATGAAAATGAAAATGAAAATGAAAAGGAAATGAAAATGAAAATGAAAATGAAATGAAAATGAAAATGAAAATGGGAAAATGAAAGAAAATGAAAATGAAAATGACAAATTGAAAATGAAAATGAAAATGAAAATGAAAATGAAAATGAAAATGAAAATGAAAATGAAATGAAAATAGAAAATGAAAAAATGAAATGAAATGAAAATGAAAATGAAAATGAAAATGAAAATGAAAATGAAAAAGGAAAATGAAAATGAAAATGAAAATGAAAATGAAAATGAAAATGAAAATAAAAATAAAATGAAAATGAAAATGAAAATGAAAATGAAAATGAAATGAAATGAAAATGAAAATGAAATGAAAATGAAAATGAAAATGAAATGAAATGAAATGAAAATGAAATGAAAATGAAAATGAAAATGAAAATGAAAATGAAAATGAAAATGAAAATGAAAATGAAAATGAAAATGAAAATGAAAATGAAAATGAAAATGAAAATGAAAATGAAAATGAAAATGAAAATGAAAATGAAAATGAAAATTTAAATTTAAGTAAGAATTGAAATTAAAATTTCAGTGAGAATTGAAATTCAAATTCAAAATTGAAATTTCATTAGAAAATTCATCTTCAAAGTGAATAATAAAATTGAAATTTCAGTAAGGAGTGAAATTGATATTGAAAATTCAAGTCAAAATTGAAATTTCAGTAAGATTTGAAATTCATATTGAAAATTCAAATTATAACTCCAGTAAGAATTGAAATTGAAATTGAAATTTCTGTAAGAATTGATAGTTAAAATGAAAATTAAAATGAAAATTGAAATTTCAGTGAGAATTGAAATTCAAATTGAAAATTCAAAATTGAAATTTCATTAAAAATTCATCTTCAAATTGAATAGTAAAATTGAAATTTCAGTAAGAATTCAAATTCATTTTGAAAATAAAAATTAAAATTATTGTAATTTCAAATTAATAATTTTAATTAAAGTTGAAAATTGAAGTTGAAATTGAAAAACTATTATCTTTCAAAAATTATTAAGAATTAAAAAATTTATAAAAATAAAAAAATAATCGATTTAGAAATGAAGTTGAGTTCCAAATTGTAAAAAATAGTTTAATGTTGAAAGTAATTTTTAGAAGTTATTAAATATAAATATTTAATATTTAAAATATCAATTATTATCCACTTTTAATTTTAAAGATTTTTCCCCGTGGAAAAACAATTAAGAATTATTTAAATATTTATTTAACAAAAATCAGTAAAATATTATTATTATAGGTATTATTATTATTATTATTATTATTATTATTATTATTATTATTATTATTAGTAATATTATTATTATCAACAATATTTGCGATAAAAATATTTCTTCTATTCGAATTATTGATTGATTGATAATAAATAAAAAATTCAAAAATCCCCTCAGTTATGCGAACACTTTAGTGATTGAATAATATAAAAATTCATAACAGATAAAAATTTTATTCAGAGAATAAATATAAACAAATAGTTATTTATTTTTATTTATGTACGGGAAATGTAAAAGGCCGAAAGGTCATACATATGAATCCAATAAAATAATAATAATAATTAAATAGTTATTTATTTTTATTATGAAAATTTTATGTATTTTATTAAAATTTTATTTTATTTTATTTTTCTCAATGAATTATTAATTTTAATTTTAATAACATTAATTATTAATTATTATTTATTAATTTGTTAAATAAACATATTAAACGTTGTTTTGCATTTGAATGCAATTTCAACGTCAATTATCGATAATAAGTTGCAATGTGAATTTTTTTTTATATCTTTGAAAAATACTCATCGTTAATTAATTTACATTTATTTGTTCAACTGATTCATTAAGCTTCTTGATCAAATAAATATATCATTGTATGAAACATTGTACACTTTAATATAAAAAAAAATTTAAATAAAAAAAGATAAAATTATTTGAGCAGTCGGATCGAATAGAAATTTAAATTAATTTTTAATTAAAAAAGTTGAAAAAAATAAATAGAAAGAAATTAATGAAATATTTTTTATTTAAAAAAAGTAAAGAAAACAAAAATTAACAAAATAATTATAATAATAAAAATAATAAAAAATAAAGGTAAAGTAAATAAATAATGAATGTAAAAAAATTGGGAAAAATAAATAAAAGAAAATGGATAAATAAGTGAAAGGAAAAAAAATTAATACGAGAAATAAAAAAAATAAAATCAAAGTGACAATGAAAGGTGAAATTTTACATTATCCATTGAAAGAAGGAAAATATTTTGCAGTTGGTTTTCACTCGCTGATAGAAGATGGCAGCACTAAGTAGTTTTTTTTTAAATATTTATTTATTTATTTATTTAAAAATGAAAAATTAAAAGAATTTAAAAAAATATAAATTAAACAAAAAAGAATAAAAATGATTTCTAAAAAAAAAATTTTTTAATATTTTTTGATTTAAAAATTAAAGAAACATTAAGCAACAAAAGAATAAAAAATGAATTGTAAAAAATAAAAATTGAAATTAAAAATTAAAGTTAATTTAAAAATTGAAAGAAAAATTAAAAAAGAAGAAATTGAACTAAAATGAAATAAAAATAATTTTTGAAAATATAAAAAATGTTTATATTTATTTATATTATTTAATATTAAATATATTAAAAACAAATTTTAATTTTTAATTATTGATTATTATTATTTATATAGTAGAATTATAATTTATATTTATTTCTCTCTTCATAATATATCGTTATCATTAAAAAAAGAAGACTTTTTCATGTAAATAATTACTCATTATCGTCACTTTGTAGACATAATTTATTTACAATTTTTTTTTGTACACTAAAATACTTATTATGATAATGAAAATAGTTTGTAGATTATAGCTTAATAAATTATTTTTTCTTGTTTTGCAATCATACAAAAAAATGTCAGTTATTTAAAAACAACTGTTTCTCTAACATTTCAATTCTAAAAAATTTTAGTAAATTTTTTTTTTAATAATTTTCCATTTTTTGTATAATTTAATTTATTTTCATTAAAAATTTTTTTTTTTTTTTTTTTGAAAAATTAACAAATTATTATTACTACTCACAAATTCACAAACAGTCGCTCAAGTTTCATTCATAATTTTATATTTTTATAATAATAATAATAATAATAATAGAGAAGAGAAAGAAAATAAAATTGAAATCGAAGTAAATTTTTTTTTTTGAAATTTACGATTTAAAAATAATTATTTACAAGAAAATGTAAAAAAAATTTGTTATCAAGACTCAACTAGTTTTTTTCACATTAAAAATTGAAATTTAATTTCAAATTGAAATTCAACTTCAATTTGAAAATTAAAATTTCATTCAAAATTGAAATTAAAATTAAAAATTGAAATTTTATTAAAAATTCATCTTCAAATTGAAAATTAAGATTTTATTAAAAATTCAAATTTAAATTGAAAATTGTAATTTAATTAAAAATCCAACATTCAATTAAAAATTTGAAATTTTTATTAAAAATTCAAATTCAATTTGAAACTTGAAATTTCAAAATAATTGAAAACTCAAAATTGAAATTTCATAAAAAATTCAACTTAAAATTCAAAATTGAAATTTCATAAAAAATTCAACTTAAGATTCAAAATTGAAAATTCATAATTGGAAATTTGAAATTAAAATTGAAAATTCATAATTGGAAATTTGAAATTAAAATTGAAAATTCAAAATAAAATTGCAAATAAAATTGAAATTGAAAACTCAATTACAAATAGAAATTGAAAGTGAATTGAAAATTAAAATTGAAAAATGAAATATTTAATGAATTAAGTTATAAATTATAATTATATTCATAGTTAATTAAACTACAAAATATATAATTAAATCCATAATAAAAAATTCATTTACTTCGATTCCTTTTATTTTTAAATATAATTTAATTTTTTTTTGAGTGGAAAAAGGGTATTTTTGAGGGAGGAGGAGTGGGGGGGGGTTTAAATTATTGTTTTTTGGGAGAATCAATATTATCCTCCTCGGGATGCGCCGCGTTCCATTCGAGGGCTTTGAGAATTTCTGGTGGAATTGGCGGCGGTGTTGGTAGATGTGCGCCTTTTGGTTGAAAACCCTCCTCATTTGCAATATATTCCAATTGAATTTTATTTCCCTCAGTGTCAGTGTAGGAAAATTGTCCAACTGCCTCCATTGCCTCATTTTCGGAGCCGGCATTTTTCACGTGCCCCTCCTCCTCGGCTGCAATTCCATTGCCCGCCTCGTAACTCCATTTATAGGAGCCATCTGGATTGGGGCCTTCTTGACTTTGTCTTATTATTGGAATTGGAGTGCTTCCCGATTGCTGTTGGGCCAATGTCACTGCGACGAGAGCCGCAAAAAATAACACCTGTAAAAAAAAAATTTTTTTTTTTAATAAAAAAAAATATTTTCTTAATAAAAAAAAATATTTTTTTAATAAAAAAAATATTTTCTTAATAGGAAAAAAATTTGTTATATTATTTTTATTTATTTACGTTTATTTATTTTTTTTGTTTATTTACGTTTACTATTTTTATTTATTCACATTTTTTATTTTTGTTTATTTACGTTCACTATTTTCATTTATTTATTTACTTTTGGTATTTTTATTTATTTATGTTTACTATTTTTATTTATTCACGTTCACTATTTTTGTTTATTCACGTTTTCTATTTTTATTTATTCATTATTCATATTTTAGTAGAATTTACGTTTTAAATAAAATAGTTCGTTGAGTGAGACTGGGAGACTGAGAGAAGCGGCCCCCACCACGCGGCAGTGACGCCACGCAACGCGCAGGTCCGCGCGCAGTGGTGGGGGGACGCTTCTCCGCGCTACTTGAATACTAACTTTTCTTGAAATAGGTTTTTTGTTAAAAAAAAATAAAAACTTCCCTTTTGTCATTTTCTACAAGTAGAGAAAATTTTTAACTTAATAAAAAAGTAAATAAATAAATTAAAAAATAAAAAATTATTAGATAAATAAACAAAAATAATAAGTAAACAAATGAAAATAAACAAATAAAATTAACAAATAAATTAAGAAAGAAACAAAATTTACGAATAAATAAATTAATAAACAAATTACTAATTGGTAGATAAATAAATTTACTAATAAGCAAATAAATAGATTTACAAATAAGTAGATAATTAATCAAAATAAAAAGTGAATAAATAAATTATTTAAACAATAAACAAATAAATTTATTGATAAATAATGTGATAAAAAATTGTTTAAAGAGTAAATAAATAATTTTTATCAATAGGTAGATAAATAAGAATGTCGAGTAATAAATAAATTAACAACTAAATAAATAAATACACTTACTGCCAAGTAGATTAATAAATAAATTAACAAAAAAAATTTACAAACGAGAAAATACAGAATAATAAATATACACACAATTTATTATTAAATAAAGATGTAAATTAGTAATTAAAAAAAAGAATTATTTAGCTAATAAGTAAATAAATTAACACAGTAATAAATAATTCATCGTTAATTACAGTAATAAGTGAATAAATAAACAAATAAGCAAATAAATTATAAACAAGTAAATAAACAAATAAGCAAATAATAATAAACAAATAAATAAACAAATAAGCAAAAAAATTATAAACAAATAAGCGAAAAAAATTATAAACAAATAAGCAAATAAATTATAAACAAATAAATAAACAAATAAGCAAATAAATTATAAACAAATAAATAAACAAATAAGCAAATAAATTATAAACAAATAAATAAACAAATAAGCAAATAAATTATAAACAAATAAGCAAACAAATTATAAACAAATAAATAAACAAATAAGAAAATAAATTATAAATAAACAAATAAATTATAAACAAATAAGCAAATAAATTATAAACAAATAAATAAACAAATAAGCAAATAAACCTTCAAGAGAGCTGCGCAATGCTCCTTTGTTTCTTGTCAATACTACAAGTACTGTTTTTGCTGACAATTGTTTATATATTAGATTGTTTAAAGAAGCTAATTCTCTCTCTAATAGAATTGATTTTTTTTCACACTCAATTAGAGGTTTTTCGACTCAACTGCGTGTACTACTTTCTGAAACTAATTAAGCGTCAAAATATTTTGTTTATATATATATATTAATTTAATTATGAGTACTTTGTACAAAAGGGCATTTTTTTTCTTTCTAGCCCGTTTACACGTGAAATAAAAAAAAATAAAAAAAAAATAAACAAATAAGCAAACAAATTATAAACAAATAAATAAACAAATAAGAAAATAAATTATAAACAAATAAGCAAACAAATTATAAACAAATAAATAAACAAATAAATTATAAACAAATAAATAAACAAATAAGCAAACAAATTATAAACAAATAAGAAAATAAATTATAAACAAATAAATAAACAAATAAGCAAATAAATTATAAACAAATAAATAAACAAATACGCAAATAAATTATAAACAAATAAATAAATAAGTTATATATAAGATATGTAAACAAAATAAAAAGTAAATAAATAAACAAATTAATAAACAAACAAATAAGAAAAATTTATAAACAAATAAGCTAATAAATTATAAACAAATAAATTATCAAGTAGATAAACAAATAAAACAGCAAATAAGTTCTCCATCAAATATGTAAACAAAATAAAAAGTAAATAAATAAAATAAACGATCAAGTAAATAAATAAAATAACAATTTAACTAATGAGTAAATAATGCTAATAAATAAATAAATAAATTTAGTAAATTATTTAGTAATTACTTGTTTATTGTTATTACAATTTATTATAACGATTAATTTGTTAACAAAAAGAAATGAAAATAAAATGTACTATTTTGCTTCGTAATAGTTTGGGGATTTTTTTTTACAATATTTATCTTTTGGAACAAATTGAATTGAAGAGATGAATAAAGAAAAGTGATTAAAGTCATTGTTGCTTAATTTATAAAGATGTAAAAATACAAATCAATCAATGATTATAATTGCATTATGTAATTCAGTAATTTCCTGGTTGCATAACGCGAAGTAAATTCTTATTTTGAATTATTCTTTTGAAAAATAAAATTTTTTTTTGACTCATTTGACACTTGATCATTTTTCTAATCAAATAATAATTACAATAATAAAAATAATAATAATAATTTTTGTAGAAGTTCTTTTGTAATCTTTATGATTTTCACTTATGATTTTGTTATTGTTTCTTAATTTTCAAAAAAAGTTTCTTTTTTATAATTTTTAAAAAAAGTTCTTTTTTGTAATTTTTAAATACATAGTTTATTTATTTGTTTATTGAATAAAGACGAGCAAAGTGAGTAATAATAACTAACAATAATAATTATTAATAAATAATTCAATTTTTTTTATAATTTTTTAATTATTTAAAAAAAAAATTTAATTGAATTAAGTTTTTAAAAAATTTTTAAATTATTAATTTGTTTTTGTTAATTAATTAATTAATTAATTAATTAATTAATTAATTAATTTGTTTATTTAATATTGATGGGCGAAATAAATAATGGGAGTAAGTATCGTTTAGACACAAAAAAAAAAATGAAATATTTGTTTCTTTCTATTTATATATTAAAAAAAAATATTTGTAAATTATTTTTTTTTCAATTTTTTATTCTCGAATAGAAATTTTCTTAAAAATAAAATAAAATTGAAGAATTTTTTTTTTTTTTTTTAAATAAGCTCTACAAGGTGTAAATGGTAATCAACAATAATTATTACTAATAATAATGAGTAATAATAGATAATTTTATTTTGTTATAAATTTTAAATTATTTACAAATTATTTATTTTATAAAAAAATTGAAATGTTTATTTAACATAGACGAGAAAAATAAATAATAATTTCCTAATTATTTTTAAATAATTTTTCGTCAGAACTTTGATTTTTTTTTTTTTTTTTTTGTAAATAATTTATGAAGATGAGTAATAAAAAAATTTTAATGGAGAAAAAATGAATAAGAAATTTTTGTTGTATTAAATTTTTTTTTTTTTTTGAGTAATTATTTTTGTGATTTTATAGATTGGAAAAAAAGAGTAAGAAGAAGAAGAAGAAAAATAAAAAGGTTAAGATGGGTTCACTGGGTCATGGAATATTTTGCATATTGTAAAGTCGATTGCTTTGTCTTTTGCCATATAGTAACACATATATAGCAATAGTTTAACTGAAATGCGCGAAAGTCACATCTATTCAGCCTCAGTTTGGCCTTTTGTATAAACGCTCCCTCTTTTACTCAAGAGACATTTTCAATATTTTATTGACTATCAAAGACGCAATTCAATTATTTATTATAACTATTTTTTTCCTCTTCTTCTTTTATCCATTTACATAAATAATAAATATTATTTTTTTTTTAATAACACTATTAAATTTGTTGGAGAAAAATATTTTTATTTTTTTCTATTTACATTTTATAGATACAATTAGTTATTATTGGGAATTTTATCGAATTTGTCATCAATTGATTAATATTTTATTTTTTATTTTATTTTTTATTTTATTTTATTTTTTATTTTTTATTTTATTTTTTATTTTATTTTTTATTTTATTTTATTTTATTTTATTTTTTATTTTATTTTTTATTTTATTTTTTATTTTATTTATTCTTTTATTTATTAGGGACAAATTCTGAATCACTGAGTTAATACAACTAGTTTTTTAATTTTTATTTGTTTATTTATAATTAATATTATTTTTTTAAATATAATTCCGTATATTGTTTAAATAAATAAATTGTTATTATTATTTTTATTATTAATATTTTTACTATTTTTTACTACTATTATAATAATTTTTTTATTGGCAATAAGTATATTGTTTAAATAAATATATTATTATTATTTTCATTATTAATATTTTAACTATTTTTACTACTATTTTTACTATTACTATTTTTTTTATTATCAGTCCAAATATTATTTTAAACAAATGAATTATTATTTTTATTTATTATTATTGTTACCTTTACAATTTTTTGTAACAATATTGTTTAAATAAATAAATTATAATTATAATTTTTATTATTATTTCTATTTATTATTATTATTATTATTAATATTGTTATTTTTACTATTTTTTTGTAAATCCGCAAATTATTTAAATAAATAAATGAATTGTCCGCATATTGTTTAAATAAATAAATTATAATTTTTATTATTATTTTTATTTAGTATTATTATTATTGTTATTTTTACTATTTTTTTTTGTAAATCCGTATTTTATTTAAATAAACAAATAAATTGTTATTATTATTAATTTTGATTGCATTAATTTTGTCCGAATATTCTTTCAATAAATAAATTATAATTATTTTTAATTTTTTATTATTAATATTTTTGTTATTTTTTACAACCATTGTAATAATTTTTTTTTATTGTCACCTCGAACATTGTTTAAATAAAAAAATAAATTATTATTTTAATTGCAAGTCCGTATATTGTTTAAATAAATAATTATTTTTGTTTTTTACTATTATTTATTGTTATTTTTACTCTTTTTTGTAAAATAAATAAATTAAATAAATTTTTGTTTAAATAATAAAAATAAATAATAATAATTATTATTTTTACTATTAATTTTATTACTATTGTTAATCAATTTCAAAATTTAAATTTAAATAAATAATTTTACAAAAATTTTTTTTTTTAACTAAAATGGAAATATTGAAAATTCGAAGAAGTTGATAATTATTTCTTTTCTTTTATGACCACAAGACATGTAGATATGAAAAGAATGATGTAATTCATCAAGATTGAACCCCATGATGACCCTTTAATTTATCACCTGTCTTTCTCTATTGCAATAGATTTTTCATTCTAGCGAAAAATTTTGTAATTAACCTTTTTATGACGATTATTCACACTAAAAATATTTTTTTTTGTTCACTTTGTCGTCCTTGCTTTATGGAGACTTTTCCTTTTTTTTTGTTTTGTAATAATTTTTTTTTATTTCAAGTAAATAAAAATTGTTTTTTTTTATTTTACGTTTTTCTTTTTTTATTTAAACATTTTTTTGATAATTTCGTCTGTTTTATTTTAATATTTATTTCAACAATAATAATATTCCATATTTTTTTTATTCATTTTCTTATTTATTTATTTATTATTAACATTTTGGTTTTGTAATAATTTTTTTTGTTTCAAATAAAGAAAATTTTTTTTATTTTACTTTTTTTTTAATTTAAAATTTTTTTGATGATTTTGTCTGTTTTATTTCAATATTAATTTCAATAATAATATTCAATATTTATTTATTTTTTTGTATTTGTTTTTTTATTTTTAATTTTATTTTTATTTGTTTTTTATTTTTAATTTTATTTTTTTTTATTTAGTTTTTTATTTATTTATTAATATTAAAAAAAATTTTTTGATTAGTAAATTTTTACTCAAAAATAGTAATTTTTACTAAATTATTTAGTTTTATATTTTTTCGTTTTATTTATTATTTTTACTAATAAATAAAAATGTCTACTAATTATTTAGTCAAATTTACCAATTAAAAAGCAAAAAATCAGTCACTAATTCAAATTAGTAAATTTTTTGACTAATTAAAATTTTTTAGTTTATTTTTAATTAGTAGAAATTATTGTTTATTATTAAAATATTAATTAGTAATTTCTACTAATTTATTAGTAAAATAGGAATTTCTACAATTTTTTTTAGTAATATTTACTAATTTTAATACAAAAAGTCAGTGACGAATTAAAATTAGTAAAATTTTTTACTAATTCAAATTTAGAGAGAATAATACAATAATTAATTATAATTAAAAATTATAATTTGAAACTATAATTAAATTAAAAATTATAATAATTAATTTTAATTAATAATTAATTAAAATTAATAATTACAATAACGAATTATAATTTATATTTATAATTACAGTTTCGTTTCCATAATTAAAAAAATAAAAATTCACTTTTTCTACTCGAAGAAAAATATTTTCTAAATTCTCGAACAATTTTCACTTTCAGAAAAAAAAAATTAAACAAACAAAAAAGCAAATTAAAAAAAATTTGTCTTCCTTCAAATTCACGAAATTCACACTTGATCACTAAATAATGAAATTTAATAGAGATCGGTGATAATCCAGTGGGGTTGATGCTGAGAATCGTTCTTCACTATGAACTGGACTTACCAATCGTTTCATGGCGATTTCTCTCACACGAGTAGAAAAATAATTTAACTAAGTAGAGCTTTTTTTAATTTTTTTTTTTCAATTTTCTTTTTAATCCAAATTGTTGGAAGGAAACTCTTCACTGAACTGACTCGTGAAGCACTGCGAACCTTCCGCTTTATATATCCTCATTCACGGATCTTCGGTACATAAAGTAAGTAGTAAGGTAATACCATACCTTATTTAGACCCCCCACCCCTCTGAGAGATGCTGTGCGGATGGACCCAGGCAGAAGCACTCTGCATCAGTCCCTATACTCGTCAATATACAAATATCCTTCACGAGTATTGTCCTCTGCAGCTGGCTGGAAAAATAAGAAACTATCTTATTTATTTCAATCGATTTTACCTGATTCGACTCGAATTTTTTGATTTTTATTCGATTAAATTCGAATGAATTCGAATTTAATAGAATTTATTCCAATTTAATAGAATTTATTCCAATTTAATCGAATTCATTCTAATTCAATCGAATTTATTCGATTCTGATTGATTCTATTCGTTTTTATTCGATTTAATTCGATTATACTCGATTCTACTCGAATTTTTTGGTTTTTATTCGATTTAATTCGAATTAATTCGAATTTAATAAAATTTATTAGAACTTAATAGAATTAAAATAGAATACATTTAAGTTTAATAGAATTCTTTCGAATTTAATCAAATTCATTCGAATTTTATAGAATTTATTCCAATTTTTTCGAATTCATTCGAATTTAATCGAATTTATTCGATTCTATTCTATTCTAATCGACTTTATTTGAAAATGTCTTATTTATTTCAATCGATTTTACTCGATTCTACTCGAATTTAATCGAATTCACTAGAATTTAATAGAATTCATTTAAATTTAATAGAATTCTTTCGAATTTAATCAAATTCATTCGAATTTAATCGAATTTATTCCAATTTAATCGAATTCATTCGAATTTAATCAAATTTACTCAATTATAAATTAAATTCGATTAAATTTGAAAAATTCGAATTTAATAGAAAATTTTCTAATTTAATCGAATTCATTCGAATTTATTCCAATTTAATCAAATTTATTCGAATTTATTAAAATTCATTCGAATTTAATCGAATTTATTCCAATTTAATCGAATTCATTCGAATTTAATCGAATTTACTCAATTAAATTAAATTCGATTAAATTTGAAAAATTCGAATTTAATAGAAAATTTTCTAATTTAATCGAATTCATTCGAATTTATTCCAATTTAATCAAATTCATTCGAATTTAATTAAGTTCATTCGAATTTATTAAAATTCATTCGAATTTAATCGAATTTATTGGATTCTGATTGATTCTATTCGTGTTTATTCGATTTAACTCGAATTTTTTGGTTTTTATTTAATTCAACTTGATTTATCTGAATCAATTTTATTTAATTCTACACGAATTTCTTGTTTTTACTTCGATTCAAATAAATTTTATTGGTTTTTATTCGATTCAATTCTTTTAATCTTAATCGATTTTCTTCAATTCTACTCGATTTTTTTGGTTTCTATTCGATTTTAATTGATTTTATTCGATCTTATTTAATGCTACTCGATTTTATTTGATTTCATTCTATTTTGATGGATTTTATTTGATTTCAGTCGATTTTCATCTATTCTATTCAGTTGTACTCGAATCTTTTCTGTTTTATTTAGTTTTATTTGGTTCAATTTAATTCCATTCAATTCCATTTGTTTCTATTCGATTTTTTCGAATCTAATCGATTTTATTAGTTTTTATTCGATTCTATTCAATTATTATTATTTTTTATACGATTTTATTCGATTGTATTCAATTTTATTTGTTTTTGGTCATTTTTATTCAATTCCATTCTGTTCATTAAATCGATTTTACTCCATTTCATTCGAATTTTTTTGCTTTTTATTAGATTTTAGTCGATTTAATTAGTTTTTTATTCGATTCTACTCGAGTTAATACGTTTTTATTCGGTTTAACTCGATTTTATTCGATTCTAGTGAATTTATTCGATTCAATCCTGTTTATCTGACTTAATTTTCTTCAATTCTATTCAAACTTTTAGGTTTTTATTCGATTTTATTAGATTCAAATTTATTTTATTCGTTTCTATTTGATTCTAACTCGATTTTATTCGATTTTATTTGATTTCATTCTATTTTGATGGATTTTATTTGATTCTAATCGATTTTACTCTAATCAATTCAGTTTTATTCGAATCTATTTTGTTTTATTTAGTTTTATTTGGTTTATTTAATTCGATTCTATTTGATTTTATTCGATTTTTTTAAAAATCAAAACGATTTTATTAGTTTTTATTCGATTCTGTTTAATTTTATTCTTTTTTATTCGATTCTACTCGATTTTATTCGGTTATATTTAATTTTAATTCATTTCGGTCGATTTTATTCGATTCTATCCTGTTTATTTAATCGATTTCACTCGATTCTACTCAAACCAATTAAATTTTACTCAATTTTATTCGAATTCGATTTTTTTCGATTCTACTCGAATTTATTTAATTTTATTCGTATTCACTCTATTCTACTCAGGTTTATTCAAATCTATTGTGTTTTATTCTATTGTATTTGGTTCATTTAATTTTATTCGATTTTAATTGATTTTATAGTTTTTCGTTTTGATTTTGAGTTCTATTCGGTTTCATTAGTTTCTAATTGATTTTATTTGATTTTATCTTGTTTAATTTATTTGATTCTGCTAAAATGTATTCGCTTTTGTCCAAATAAATTCGATTTTATTTGATTTCATTCCATTTTATTCGAATCTACTCGATTTTATTTAATTCTATTCTATTTTACTCTATTCTATTCGGTTTTATTTCAATGTGGTTCATTTATTTCTATTTTATTCTATTTAACTTTATTGGATTCTATTTGTTTCTGCTCGATTCAATTAGATTCTATTTAATGCTATTAAATTCTATTTGATTTAATTCGACTTTTCTTTTCGATTCAATTTGACTCTATTTTGATTTTATTTGTTTCTATTTGATTCAATTCAGTTTTATTAAATTCTATTCGATTCAATTCGACTTTATTCTATTCAATTCGTTTCTATTCAATTTAATTCGACTTTTTTCAATTAAATTCGTTTCTATTCGATTCAATTCACTTTATTCGATTCAATTCGTTTCTATTCATTTTTATTCGACTTTATTCGATTTAATTCGTTTCTTTTCGATTCAATTCGACTTTCTTCGATTCAATTCGTTTCTATTCGATTCAATTCGACTTTGTTCGATTTAATTCGTTTCTTTTCGATTCAATTCGACTTTCTTCGATTTAATTCGTTTCTATTCGATTCAATTCGACTTTGTTCGATTTAATTCGTTTCTTTTCGATTCAATTCGACTTTCTTCGATTTAATTCGTTTCTATTCGATTCAATTCAACTTTATTCGATTTAATTCGTTTCTATTCGATTCAATTCGACTTTATTCGATTCAATTCGACTTTTCTTCAATTCTAATTGATTGAAAAACAACATATTTAGAGATTTAAAAATAACTCGAATAATTTCACAATTATTAATATAATATAAAAATAGAAATAAGAAGAAGAAGAAGAAAAAAAAAGTCCGACTTAAATTGAACGTGTATAATTTCTGAGTTAGGGAGACGCAAGGTAAAGTATTGCGTCACCCCCAACTATGATGAACGTAATGACCGATGATGATGACGATTCTCATTGGATGTTTTCCGCGTGTGGCACTTTTGATATTATATTCTATTCCATCTTAAGTCAAGGCTTAAAACCAGTATCTATGGTAAATATTTATTATCGAAATCCTTCTCTCTTAGATCTTTCAAAATTAATCATATTTTATTTTTTTTTCTTCTTTTCAAATATATTATAAATTAATAAAGTTGTATTCTTTTTTTATTCTCTCTTTACTACATTTATTGTCATGGAGAATAATAATGCAGTATGTATAATATTTTTCTCTAATAAAGGTAAATAAAGTGTCATCTATAATAGAATATTTAAAAAAAAAAAAAAAAAAAATTCCGTTATGACTTGAAAACCTGTTTTTTTTAACGACTTTCTTTATCATTATTTTACTGATTTTTCATTGCCGCGTTACAATATTGCATTTCTTTTTTTTTACTATTTTATTAATTTATTATTATTATGGATTCATCATTAACAATCGAGGGAGAAACAGAAAGAATATTTTTTAATAATAAATTTTACTATTCTGTATTTATTTCTTTTTTTTTAATTTTTTTATTTAAAAAAAAAAATTTTTTTTTAAATTTTTTTATTTAGTAAATATACAAGCTTACAAAAAAATGCCCTTTAGTACAAATATTCATGTAAATTCGGCTAAAATTCTTCTTTTTCCAAATTTACTAAATTTTGTTAATAATTAAAAAAAAAGAGGAGGGGTAGGTTACTTTTTAATTAATTTGTTTTTACGAATTTAAGAATTAATATTCTCTTGAACTTTGTGGTTAATGTTTCATTTTAATTATACACTTTGTCTAATGATTTAAATGTTAGGACAAACATTTATAACCGCAAATACATAGGTATTAGATGTAAATATAGATTTTTTTTTAAATTCTAATCAAAACTTGATTTGCTACTGAATTTAAATAAATTAATAAATAAATATACGTAGAATCAATAATCGAGTAGAATAAAAAATAATAGTGTATCGAAAAGAAACAGAGAAGAACATAATTAAATTATATAAAAATAAATTTAAAAAAAAATAAAAATCGAATTGAATTGAACAAAAACGAATTAACTCTTTGCCGTACATAAGTTTTCCCCACCTTAGAAACAAGCAGTTTGACAGTTGAATCACGTGGACAATATCAGGGCCGGATGTTAGTTTGATTTTGAGGTTATGTTTACATAGGATATTTATGTTTGATAAAAGTCTTTAACAATCAAATTTACCATTTTTAAATTGTAATAAATTGCAAATATACATTTGCACTTTACACAAAAAATCGTATTTTTAGTGATCAATTAGTATAATTAAATATAATTTATTGTAAAATATAAATGGGTTCCAATTTTAAGAAGGTACGATCCTGTAAGTTTAGACACTTACATACTCACACATAACTAACTTATCAACACAAGCATAAACGCCTCTTCTCATTGGCTGTTC